TGTGTTTAATTATGTGTGAACATACATGGTTTGACATGAATTAGTTAATTATTGGTAAGTTAGAACTAAATTACTAATATAACTAAAAACCAACGTAATAATCCGTAATCATTAGCTAGCCATAAGGGAGAAGTGGATTCAAACTAAACAAGAGTGTGTTTTATTTATTGAATTTGATTTAAGTTCATCTGATCTTGTAAAACCAGATAAAACTTCTTTTAAACTTGTTAATAAACTAGGTTAATTTAATAGTAAATATATTAAATTAGAACACCGTTCCCTGTCATCGACACCTGACTTACCTAAGCTATACTGTAATCTGACTAGGTACACTGCCTATAAGTGCATAGTTAGTCTAAGTTTGTTAGGTTATAAATATTAAAATTAGTGGGTACTTTTGTGCACATCACCTGCACATAGAACAAACAATCTCTCTTCTTCATCTTTTCTTGTCTCGTCTCCTTCACCAACCCAATTTAACTGTTGATCTTTAAACCAACAATCATTCTTGACATGGCCAAACCGTTTGCAGTGATCACATTGCAGCTGAGAGTTGCTTCTTCCTTTTCCTCTGCCTCTACCGAAACCTCTTCCACATGATTGTCCTTTGAATCCTCCATGATCACCTCCACTTGATGAGTATTGAGCTTGAAAGGCTTTTTCTTCTACCTTGACAGGTGATCTTCTGATGATCCTGGCCTCATGTGACTGTAACGACCCCATGAGTTGGTTAAATGTGAGTTCAGCAAGATCTTTTGATTCCTCAATCGATGCAACCACATGATCAAATTTCTTAGGCAAACTTCTCAATACTTTCTCCATTATAGTCTAATCGCTTATCGTGTCTCCGTAGGACCTCATCTTGCTTACAATGTCCATGCATTTTGACAGGAAATCTCCAATGGATTCATCTTCCCTCATAGCCTGATTTTCGAACTCCCGTCGTACGGATTGAAGCCTAATTACTGCAACTTTGGCATCACCATGAAATTCTTCTTTTAGCACTGTCCATGCTTCTTTGGATGTGCTTGCTGCTGCAATTCTTGAAAACATACTATCATGAACAACTTGTTGAATGATCGCTAGAGCCTTTGCGTCTTTTTTCTTATTTTCTCTGAGTATGTTATCTTCATCTTCAGTTAGGTAGCCATGTTTAACTATCTCCCACAAATCTTGTGACTTGAGTAAGGTCGTCATCCTTCTGCTCCAGTATTGATATCCTTCACCCTTGAACACTGGAATCAGTTGTTGTCACACCCCCGAACCAGACGGCGGAAACGTCTGAGGGCTATTGTGACTTAATTGAATACCATCACAATGAATATACATGAATCATAACATCATTCACCACCATGCATTGAAATATTACAACCGATATTGTTTACATTCAATACATTGTTTTAAAGCATTACATTTCCAAAACATAAACCATTCGATATTAATTAAACAAAACATCATGATATCACTGGATACATTTTCTTCGATTTACTTGTTACCTGAGAATACAAGTATTTTGGAAAAACGTCAACATATGAAATGTTGGTGAGTTCATAAGTAATGTTTGAAAAGTAATGATTTGTATTATTTTGAAAACCACCAGAAAATCCGATATTTTCTGAAAAGAGTATTGTATATGAGAAAAAGTGTGAAGATTCGTAAGTATGCTTGTTGATTTCTGTAAATATGAATAATTGTTAGACTTTGTATGCATCTCATAGGTGAAAGTGTTGAATTCCCTAGGAAAACCCGATGTTTTCCTAATACATCAAATTATGTGTCTTATTTATTGTTATGCCGATGTGACGTTTGTATCCGATAATTCCATGTGACATTGGATTAATTATGGGTTGTGAGTCGTTATAATCACGCATTAAAGAAAATGACTAGTTTATAACTACCAATTACAAACGATCCTTTTGGCGTCGTCCGTAAGACTCACATGATCCAACCACCCTAACTTCTCATAGCCCCACAACTGAGGAGAAAAGAGGGTACGAAGCCCTCGTTATTTCCATAAGTCGTTCAAGGGTATCATGAATGCGAAAGGCACTAGGCCCGACTCGCATTTGACTTCTCGACTTTGCTAGCAGTACCAATGGGCCCTTGGGGCCCAACAACACAATAAAGCTATTGAAATTCCTTTTACACGGAATTAGATCATAGAAGACCCAATAACCTGTAAGTGTGTTCCCTTCGGGCCTAAAGATCATGTCATTGGGATAGCTAGGCCCAACAAGCATGATTTGAAACTTTCAAGCCCAAAGATTGAATATTGACTTTTCGTAGATTTTCACGTGTGTATTGAAGTAGTATTGTTTATTGATCTTTGATTCGTTATTGATTCGAGACCGAATCAATTCGTTTGGCAACGATATTGGTGTTGGATGTGTATTTGCTATTACGTTTCGTCGGTAGCCGTGGTACTCGTATTTTATCTTAAGGGATTTATTGTTTTAAACATTAGAGTTTTTCTTTTTGATGCCTCTTCTTGGATAAAATTTATACTTTTAATCCTTTATATAAAAGAATTTCCATTTTAGTCCTTAAACCATTTTTCTTGACACTTTAGTATCAAAACTTGATGAAAAGACATTTTCAGCCCAAATTTACTTGATAAACAGCTTAAGTCCCTCAAAAATGAAATTTTCTCAATTGAAACCCCCATTTTCGCAACTTTTACAATTTTGGCCCAAAAATGAAAATTTGTGCATTTTTGTTCCCTTTTTAATTTGAAAACATTTTTGACCCTTGACTTAGTTTTATTACACTAGAAATCCCCTGTTTTTCAGAAATGTGCAGTTTCAGCCCCTCTATTTCAGAATTTTCGCAATTTAGGGCTTATTGGGCCGAAAAGCCCATTTTTAGCCCATTAGGTTCAAATTTTACATTTTTAGCCCCTCAAAAGTGTTGATTTACAGAAAATTTATATTATAAACTGTTTAGACTCTTTCCAACCTCCAAAGTTATCATTTGTCGTTTTGGGCCCTTAACTTTTGTATTTTTGCCAATTTGAGCCCAAAAATGGGTTTTGTGTCCAAAAATGTTCATCAATGTTCATCCTAACCAAATAAATTATTTTTATTGACTTGATTAGTGTAACATGGTATAAGCTATGTTTATTTCATTCTTCATGTTGTATATCTTGGTTTTTAGGTATTTTTAGCTAACATATTCATCACATAACACATAAAAATCATACATACATGCATAAAATCACACAAGACATTCATGAACTCATAGATCTACACATTTTCTTGTATTCTCCCCCACAAAACTTATAAAAACCGAAAAATAGGGGGTATGAAGCTCACCTTGAGTTGGGTTTCAGTTTTTGGAGAAGATTGGAAGAAGTTTGATGTTGTTTTCGGCCCTAACAAGCCTTCCTTTGTTGATTTCGAACTTAGGGAGTTTCTAAGAGAGTGATCATGATTTTTGCATGGATTAGAAAGAGATTTTTGATAAAACAAAGAATCTAGATCATAAATCCAAGCATAATCTTACCTTAGATGAAGAATTTGTGGAAATATCTTCTTGAAAAACCTTCTAAAATTCGAGATCTTGATGAAGAGTGGAGGGAGTTTCCTTGAGAGATTTGTGAGAGAATTGTGTGTGTGTGTGTGTGTGTTTGGAATCGGCCGAGAATGAGAGAGAGGGAAAGAGAGAGATCTTGAAGTGATGTATGCATGGAAACATGGGATAAGATGCATGGAAGACCATAATGTAAAAATGAGGTGGCCATGAGAAGTCAACTCTCCCTTTTATTTGGGATTGGGCTGAGAATTAGAGGGGAAGAGAAAAGAATTTGGGCCTTGCATGCTTAAGCCCTTTTCATGGTTATGTTAAGTGATGTTTGGTCCAAATAACCATAAATATGAGTCTTATGACCTATTAGGGCTAAATTAGGTTAATTATGGCCCAAAATGGTTCATATAATTGATTTATTTCATTCTAGGCCCAATATGGCCCAAAATATTGAAATAAATGAAAGTGGGTCCGATTAGAGCCCATTCAAGAGTTCTAAGCCCAAGATAGTCAAATTGGAAGCTTATTGGTCCATTGGGCCCAATAAGGAAGTCCTAGTCCAAAATGGACTTAAACAAGGACTTCTAGGGTTTCCAATTGCTCATTGACTATTTGTAGTGCTTGTATGATGTGTTTGATTGAAATTTTGTTGTCATAGAGTATGCATCATACATGCTCTTATGCCTTTGATTCATAATTTGACTTAAGTGTTATAGTTACAAGGCACAAAATTTCTAGTTGTGACAGTTGTTGTATGGACGACATTGCATTTGCCATTCTTCACGAATCACCCTCCTTTTCTAAAAAAAAGAGCCTATGCTCTGATACCACAATGTTGGAATACGTAAGCAGAAAAAGAGTGTGATTTTATTGATCTGCTTTGATAAGCAATACATAAAACAAAGCATCCTATTTATACCCTTGAATAGGCATAACAACTAGAGCAAAAAAACAGGAACTTATTCAAAACTAAATGACTCCTAAAATTACTGCCTTAGACCAGGTCAGTATCACATTCATTCAAACACTAGTTCAAATTTTAAATCAACTTCTAACATTCGGCGGCAAAAAAATCAAAATACTGTGGCCAATCTCTATGATCCGAAAAAAGTCAGTTCTAAGGTTTTAGGAATTAAAACTTCTTTGGCAAATTTGTAAAGGCAAGGAAGTATACTGGTCCCTTAACCTCTTGTGCTTTAGTATATATAACTAACATAAATGATTTACATAAATTACAATAACTCATCAACATAATATTAAATAAATATTTTGCTTTTTTAATTAAACTGCCTTCAACTTTTACAATTCAATATCATTAAACAAAAAGGTTTTCTTGAATAAACCCCCTTGCCTTGGCCTTAAGAACCACCAAACCAATACAAAAAAATCATCTTTCTAATTCTGAATTTCTCTATTATTGGTTTCAATGTTGTCGATATTCTTCCTCTAAATTCTAACTTTGTTTACTACAATGGAGTTTACACACGCTTAACTACTCTCGATGAAATCCTGGAAGAAGAAGAAGCATCAACATTTGTAGTTTCACCAATCTTTCTCAATCGCTTCTTACCCTTCATCGGCTCCTCAGTCACCATTTTCTGACCCCGGGTCCTTAAAGCGATTGTCGCCGCCTCAGACGCAACACCTCTAGAGCTTCTCGCCGGACTTTTCTTTGTATACGCAATAAGATCGAACTCATCAGAAAGCTTCCTCACCGGAAACTTCCCAGCCGGAATGTTCTCTTCACCTTCATCGTCCTCATCAACAAAACCCAGAAATCGCCTCTTCCGCTTGTTAGCTAACGGAGCTGGAGGCGGCGACGGGCTTCGACTACGATCCAGCTCAGCCCCTTTCTCCTTCTTGGCTGATCTTTCCGACGATTTGGAAATGGGCTTTTCCTTTGACGAAAACGGGCTTAAGGATTCTTTCTTCTTGATTGACTCCTCGATCTGGCTCCGAAGCTTCTCGACGTTGCCTTCGATACGACCTTGAAGATGATGGCGATTAACGTTCAAGCCACCCATTGACCAGTGAGCTTCTTCTGCCCACGACATTAAAGGATCTGTAACAGAAACAGGCGGGTCGACTCGGTAGGAGTTGTACTTGATGTCTGTGTAGATCCGTGGTCTTGGGAGGCCGCTTCCATAAAACTTTCCGGGACCTAAAGCCACCACCATCTCTCAGTAAAAGCACAAACAAAAAGCCTAAAGATCTGTATGATTTTGAGACAATTAGGTCTAGGAGTGAAACTGTTACGTATAAGTAGCAATACGGATAGAGATGGCATCTTATAGATCGTGATTTGGGGGTTTATTAAGGCGGAAGGGATATGCCGCGACAAGTATTTTGGGCGGGACAACAAGGGTACGAGGGCGCCAAGGGAAATGCGGGAGCTTTGAAATGGGCTGTGTTAAGTTAACTCCCTTTTATTTGTTATTTTAATAATTAATTAGTATATTAAATAGGATTAAACGATTTTAATCAATAAAATATCAATAAATTATAAAATAAAATTTCCAATAAAGTCTTAATATTTTTATCAGTTTACGGTTTAGTTAAAATTAGATTTTATTTATAAAAAAGAACAGATTACCGGCTAAAACTTCAGAATAATTCTTCGTAGTCGATTTTACAGATTTAGTTGGTATCTCGTCTTTTTTCGTTAATTTATCTAAATTTTGGGAATATTTCATTAAATAATAAAAAAAATTGGGCTTTTTTGGTATTCTTAACAATAACCAAAATATTTGGACTTTTCTGAATATTACTTTTAAACTAATGTATATTATATGATCTAAGTTAATATGTATCATTCATTGTCTTCTTTCTTGCGTTTTTCTAAGCTCATCGTGTGTTTTTGTCGTCGTTGCCGAAACAACAACAAAATGCTCACTCACAAACATCGTTATCTCCATCAATTTTCAAAATCATCCCAATCACAACTCTGCAATCATCTTTCAATCTCCAAACGAAGAAAGGAGAAAATCTTTGGTGATCACGTAGATGTACCTATTACCTAACCATGACTTGAACCAATGTTCCAACACTCAAATGTTCCTATCACCTATTACCTAACCATGACTTGAACCAATGTCCCAACACTCAAATGTTCATATCACCTAACTGTTAGGGGCATGATCCTTGACTTATATTCAGGATCCTTAAATACTTTAGAAACCGCATGATCCTTAAACATACCCCAAGATCCTGACTATTATTACTTGTATTTCTAACACTTGTAACGGCTATATTTTCTTTATTTTTCTCACATGTGCACAACAAGTCAATACAATACCCATTCTCAACGGAGAGTCATCTCAACCAGGCAAAAGACCCGGAATACCAAGTCAAATAATGTTCATATGTTGATTCTGGAGGATTCCAAAGTTGTCGGACTTATTGTTATTAGCATTGGACTATAAACAACACATATAACTAGCACACTACAAGGATACTTAGCTCATACAAGACGATTGTATTTGCATTCATACATTTATCTATATATTCAACATTTTATATCAATAAAATCATCAATACATGTGATCATTATTACTTCCCAATGTTTTATGTCGGAGATCCTATCAAGGATCAAGGGCTTTTCTTGTAAACCACTCGTGTTGTGTGACAACTGTCAAATTTCGGTCAAGTCAAAGTCAACTAAAGTCAACAAGTCAAACCGTTTGACTCAATTTTCCCTTGGGTACTAGAACTTACATTATGAAATTTCTACACAACTCTCTATTCTAATGAGAGATCATAAATCAAAAAGTGTGAACATCTAGATCTCCTTAACCTAAAACTGTGGTACGTGGCTAGCCAAACTGATAAAACAATGTTGCATACTCATCGGGAGTATGTAAGATCCTTAAACAAGGCTTAACAGGGTTTACGAACCTTGCATTGCGAAGCCGGACACTCACAAATGCCACACTCGAAACCTCTCTTAATCGTTTTCACTCTATCTCTCTCTATTTGAAATCTCTCTAAGTGTGTGAAATCTCTCCCAGATCTCTCTAAGTATGTGAAACTTCTCCCAAAACTCTCTTTGTATGAGAAATCTCTCTAAGTATGTGAAATCTCTCCCAAATCTCTCTAAGTATGTGAAATCTCTCCCAAATATCGATAAGTATGTGAAACCTCTCCCAAAACTCTCTTTGTATGAGAAATCTCTCTAAGTATGTGAAATCTCTCCCAAATCTCTCCAAGTATGTGAAATCTCTCTCAAATATCTCTTTGTATGAGAAATCTCTCCAAGAATGTAAAATCTCTCCCAAATCTCTCTAAGTATGTGAAACCTCTCTCAAATATCTCTTTGTATGAGAAATCTCTCCAAGAATGTCAAATCTCTCCCAAATCTCTCCAAGTATGTGAAATCTCTCTCAAAAGTTTCCCCGTAACTTTTTAGAATCATTCGGGTCATTCCGACCCTGAATCGGGTCAAAAACGGCTTAAAACGAGAAATATGGACCTTAGGAACCGAAACCTCCTTATAAGAGAGAAGCCTCTTAGGACCCGAAGGTCCTCTTAGGGACCGAGAGCAAGGAGGAGCCGAACCCGAGACCAAGGAGGAACCGAACCCGAGCCCAGGAGGAACCGAACCTCGCCCAGGAAGAACCGAACCCGAAGTTACTGTTCATTCGGCTCATTCCGGGTGTGACACCTTCACCTCTCATCTCCGGACCGAGCCTCCTCTCGCTTCCTCGCCCCCCCCCCCTTCGTTTCCCTCTGTTTCGCTTCGTTTCCGGCTACAGTCCTCAGCAAGGACCGAACCTCGGCCTAGGACCGAGAGGTCTCGCTGGGAATGCTTTTCTTCCCGGTTTTCGCGTAGTTTTGCGTTTAAGGTCTGTTTTTAATTATTTTAACGTGGGATTTTCACCCAAAATCATATTTTAACATAATAAACCCTAAATATTCACAATTTAATGATATTTTCATAGAAATCTTTATTTAAATAATAAAAGCAAGTAGGTAAAGTACAAAGAGGTAGAGTGTTGACTTTGCTTTACCTTATGACACAAGCAACCACTCCCACACCCACTCTATGACCAGTCACACCTCCCCACCTTACCTAGGTCACATCAATGTCCTTTATACTCAATTTCCTCTCATCCCCACGTTTTTAGAGCTGGAATAAAACATTCTCTCTCCTCATTTCTCTCATTTGCTCTCATTTCACTAAGTATCAAACACCACTTTTCTCTCAAACTTTTTCTCCACCAAATTCGAGATTCAAGGCTGATTTTCAAGTGTTCTTCCACTCTTAGTAAGTATAATCCATTCTCCATATGATTATCTCACTTATTTCCACTCGAATCATGGATATCTTACACAAACTCCATCATAATTGTGTTAGAGCTTCGAATCTTCAAGTGTTCTTGGGTTGAACACTTCTCTTCTTCAACACTTATCTACTGAAATCACTCAAGGTGAGTTCATACCCCCTACATTTTCATGTTTTCTCAAGTTTTTAGGGGGGGGGGGGATACAAGTTAAAACACCAAGAACATAACTAAGTTTTTCTAACAGCCTTCATCAGAAAAGTTCAACTCCATTCACGGACTGTTTTGGGCAACTTAAACATTTTTGTTTTCAAAAATGTATAAGGTGCAAATAGTTCAAGTTCTTAGATTTAAAATGACTACTTGCACATCTCCATATGATTTTTCTACAATTTATGGTGATTTTTACAAAACTGTCTATCATTTCAAACAACAATCTGGACCAGTCTGTGATTATGGACTTATTCACCCAAGTTGGAGGTCATTAAAAATCGTGATAAAAATTATGAGTAAACTAGACACATTTTTTGAACTCTTAGAATTTACAGATCTAGTTTTCGACTTCGTATGATTTTTCTATGAATTTTCCAAAACAATGCAGAATGGCTAAAGTTAGCCAACAACATATAAATATCATAACACTTTGTATTATGTTGAGCAAAGTGTATAATCATAAGTTCTAATTATTGAATGTGTTTCTTTGTTAGTTATTCATCATGAACTGAAACTAAGTCATTCATAATAAATATTATACATTCATTTTAGAACACGTATAATAAACTATAAAAAGTATAGTTTAATGGATTCATAACATTTATGCATTTCCATAAAAGAGTTCTTACATATTACAAACGTTTTAGATAAACTATAATAGGTATAGTTTATGATACATCACACAACACACTCGTACAAAAAGGGTACGTTTATACAGAAAAGATTTATATTCACACACATTTCACGTAAACTTGTTAACCTATATTGTGAGACATTCTCTCCTCGTACGTCCGAGTGCGGGATGTAATTCCTGGTAGTTATAATCAGAATCTCATGGAGGGAGAACATGATACTTGTATATAGATCTATATTGGGTTTGACACCCCACACCTTGCTGCTAGCTACAGTGGGACCTGCAGGTCTACGGGTGACAAATGTCATTTCAGTTTTCGCGACGCCTGAGAAACGTCGTGGCAGGTTCACATAGTCATAGTATGATTATAGCGACTCACATAGGGATATAACAATCCATAAAGTTTACGGGATTTTATTTATAAAACCTAAATGGGTTTTATGTCGATTTAAAATCATTTTTTTTATCTCAATGAGTACAAATATTACTATACACTTTTGGTCTTGGTAGTTACGCCTACACATCATTTAAAACCACATTTATACCTTTAAGTATGGTCAATACTTGTTATTTCTCGGTCCTCGGATTTAGGACTACATATATATAAAGTATTAACAAACATGAGAACATACGGAAATTTCATTTAATTCAAACGCGTCCATGTCCATTTAAATACATAACATTTTCTATTAGTAAGAAAGGTTACTTATACATTTTGGTCTTCGGTCATAAGACTACATTACACAGATTTTAAAGAAAATATCGGATTTTCCGGATACATATTCTAACGCTTTTACAAGGAAAACGGTTTACTTTTCTAACGAAATCTCTTATAAACTCACCAACCTTTGTGTTGACACTTTTCAAAACTACTTTTATTCTCAGGAATTCAGTGAAAATAGGAAATCAACAACGTTTTGAGGATGGGACGATAAATCGTCAAACAGTTCATTTCGTATCATAATGTAATTGATGTGAATCATGTAAACATGTGCTTTGATGTAACGTTTTCAATTATATTTGTGATGGTTGTATTTACTTTGAGCACTAT